TAGCCTTTCTGGTTAAGGAACAGTAAGTTTCTCTGTTTTCCTACTCAGTATTGTGATATTTGTGTTTGTCGATCTCTTTGACCAAAGCAAGTAAATATTTTCATTTTATGGATTAGAAAGCAAAGCACACTTGTATTGATTARGGTCCTAATTTGTACATAGCCACGTTGGGACTGAGATATAAAAGCTCCCCACTTTTACACTCATCCTTCAGAAAATGGCTGGGCTAAGTTGTGAAAGGAAAAGGTAACTCTTATCTATGTATAATTCATTAACAAAGAATAATTGCCTGAGTGTTTTTGTAATTAATGCTAGGCATTTTTAAATTACTKTACAGCGACCCAGGATATGCTGTTGTTTTGCTTTCATGCATAACCTTTTTTGGGTGAGATGAACGTTGTATCTTACTGCCATTTGTAGTCAGGTTCCTGAATTAGAAAATAACCAGGGTTTGAAGAAACTGCATGTTAGAAGGAACGCTGTAGATAAGGTGTCCGTATTATGGTCTGTATGCTTAACATTACAATGTTTTACTCACTGTTCTACTACCATTCTGCGATACGTGATCCAGTAACACTAGAAGTGGGCATTAGTTTTAAGATTTTTACTATCAATGTGTAATCGACAAAACCTATRTATCCTCACTGTGTAAAGTCCCATTTAGTTGGTGCTACTCTTAGCTTCTAAGATACTTTTTAGCTTCTTAACATGGTTGTAGTTTCCAGAAGTTACAGATTTTCTGCAGAATCTCTTTCAAATGCTCTTTAAACTCAACACCTCATATTTACCTGTTTCAAAAGTTACAAATTTGTGGTTGAAGACTTGTTTTCCCCCGTAGCAAGGACAAAACGATTTTCCCCTCTGGCTTACGATTTTTTATTTAAAAAACACCCTAACTTTTATCAAGCATCAATTCCAATGGCATTACATAAAAACAAAATTRTTTGTATGTCAAACAAAATGACATAGTGAAAAGAAACTTGAATGATGCTCCACAATTGAAGCTAACATTTCTCTGGTAACTGTATATGTAAACTTTCTGGAGGAGGGGCTATAGCTTACTATACACTGGAGTCCTGCCTAGGATCCAGACTTCCAGAGGCTATCATGATGCAAAAGCTAAGTAAGACCTTACTTAGTCCCCGTGGTGAGACATAAAAACCTTAAAATTACTTG